AATTCTCTTCTTTCAAGACCCATTAACGATTCTGATCTGACCAAATTATTTTTTACAGAAAATGTAAACCAGAAATGAAAAGTTGGAAATTCATTGCAATTTCTTAATACTTTTTTTCAGTTATTTTTTATTTCATCGGCCAAAATGATTAAATTATGTAAGTACGAAAAGTATTAAAACTTAGGAAACTAACAATTAACCACCGTGAAAATGATTTTCTCTCTTTGAATATATTGTAATTCAAGTTGGCATAGTTAATTATATCGTTGCGGTCCCATGAATGGAGTCGCGTGCTTGCTTTTACGCGGGGCAATCGCTCACAGGGACGTAAATTTCGCACACCTGCCGCACCTAATTAATCCGGCGGTGCCGCAGTCCGGCTCGGAGGAGCCCGGACGCCCACGCACCAGGGCTAGCCGGGGCTTGCGTCATCGTTTGGCCCTCGACGCTGACGTCACCATTCAGCTGATACTACGGAACACGTTGAGGGCGTTTGGGTCGTCGTCGGCGGCGATCGACCCATCCTCTCTCTTCAGCACCAGAATCAGCGGCGGCTCGTGCGAGAGTGGCCCCGGCTATCGATTTCGCCCGCTACCCTGCCTGCCACCCCCGCCCTGCCTCCGACCGCCCACGCCGATACGTTTGCCGAGACGCGAAAATAGCGGCACACGTTGCCTCGCCAAAGAATAAAGGGTGCGTTGCGTATACACACTCCTCTCACTCAGCCGCGTCGGAAAAGTGCCGAGCTTTTCGCAGAAAAGGGTTGGTGATTTTGGTTTGGTGTGGCGCCTGATTTGTTTGTCAAAGGGGGCTCTTCTATCCATTCGTGTATTTTTCATTTGAGAATATAATAATGATTTTATTAAAAAAAAAAAAAAAATACGCTCCTTTTGGAGAAAAGAGTTCCACATCTTTGTTTGAGGAATAACCGAGTTTGGAAATACAATATAACCGAGATTGAATGCGAAATCGTTTAAACATTATTTTTTTGGTAAATATTTACATCACAAACTTCACGCTCTCAATTCACCCCACAAAATTGGTTTAAAATGTCAAAAAATTAGATTTGTTTCATAATCCATTTTAAATCATTTTAGTCACTGGTAGCGATTTAACTTATTACGGTCACTATTGAATCATATTGAATAAAAATTTAATGAATTTGTAAGATCTGAACAATATGAAGTAACAAATTGTTTCAGCATTATGAATGTTCTTGCACCGATTCGCGCCGGAATTTTAAAATTTGGGGGATACTCTTATATAAACCAAGATTTAAAACTAGTTATCTAAATTATGGATCAGCTAATTGTGTTTTGGATTAATATTTTTCTTTAATCGTAAAGCTGCGTTAAGTTTGGGACATAAATTAAGAATTAAAACTTTCTCATAATTTTATTTATAACTCATCATAAAACTGTAAGGTATCTTTAATATTAATATACTAAATTGACTGAGCAACCTGGCACATCTTCAAACCATCCATCAATTTGTTATGCAGTTTATTATATAATGCAGAACGATGCAGAATCTTCTCTATCATTGGCCTCCTCATTCCATAAACGCTAACTTCGAATAAATAACATTAGAATGTTGGTGCTCAGCCAAAACACCGAATGCTGCATCTTTGCCGCGCATCTATTAATTTTTTTACAACTCCGTTTCCCTGCATTGCTTATTTTATTGCAAACTAATAAAACCGGGAGCTTCAATTTTTTGGAATGCTTTGATTCAATTATGCATTAAAATAGATTTCAAAAGAAGCCGTTAGAGCGAATCGCCGGAAAGTAATTTATTATCGCACAAGAGCTGAATCGTTTAGGTTGTCACGTTTATTTTTCACTGTGTCAGCAGAAGCCTATTGATTGACAGCCGGGGGCAACTTTTTGGATGCGCCGAACTGACAAGTCTCAAAAGCCACTTCTTGTCATCTTTCTTCTTGGTCCAAAAAGTTTTTTAATAGCGTGCAGAAAAGGAGGGAAATCTTGAATGAATTTTTTAATATAAAAGTTGTGAATTTTAAGATTTTTCTCCAAATCTAGTTCGTTTGATCGCAGAGTGATAAGCTTTGAATCGATTACATATTATTCCAGCAGCCCAGAGTTGCAATGCCAACCGAAAGTCCATTTGCTAATTTGAGCGTGTCCAATTAGCAATTAAACCGCTGTTGCCACATTCTGTTCAATGATCATTCGTCAAAACCGCATTTGTTTCCAAGCTAAAAGTTGGCCGACGTCGCAAAATTCAAAATGAGGACATCTCAAATTTAATGTTCCTGTGGGTGACGTTCTGGGCGTTGTCATGGCTACACACGGTGAAGAGACGACACCGTGATGAGGCCCATTTCAATGCGGCCGAAAAAGACCCCGGCTGATAATGCGCTTATGCAACATGTCGATCCGTTTCACAAAAGGCGCTTTGAAACAAAACGCGCAATTGGTTCCGAGAAGCTTCTTTACACTCGCGCCGAATCCGCAGCGAATTTAGATGAAAAGTGCTCTCATCTCTCGGAACTTTCTTTTTTTCTATTTTTGCCCATTAGTGGTTGGACGGGGCGAGCAAGAGAGGAGTCGCGTGCCTCACGGAAAAGGGAAAAACACGCACAGCCCAATCGATAAATAACTAGCTCGCTGCTTACTGTTGCTGCCTCTGTTGGGAATTCCTTGGCCGTTCCGCTCGTGAATAGCACTCCAATGGGAATTGTTCTTGATCCCCTGTGACGCGAGAGAGATGTGGGAGTAAATACATGTTATTTACACTTTCTAAGAAGAATCCTCAAGTTACTTCACTAAAAATTTACATTCTTAATTAAATTTTACACAAATGAATCTAAAAATTTGCCCATTTTTTTCTCTCACAAATTTCATGTCGTGAACCTTTTTTTATGGTGAAAAACATAATTAAGAGTAAAATTTTGAGCTAAGTTTGAGCCCGTGAATCTATTTTTGATTTTTGAGAATAAATAAGATTAATTAAACGAAATCCAGCACGTTACTTTGGATCGGGGCAACAATCACCCCATCTGTCATAATTTGACCATGACACTGAACTTTTTCCTTCACCTCTCATATAAAAAAACCAATTTACCAGATTTTAAAAGTTCCGCACCTTAGAATAAATTACACCCTATTCTAAATTCTTGCCTCTTGTCTGTTCATTGAATAAGCCGAGCATACACGTGCATCAGCGCTTGTGGTTTGGATGTTCGTTTTTCCAACCCTTTTCCTCTGATTTAATATTCCACTTGAGCTCACGGAAGAATCTCTCCTCGCATGCTGCGGTTCATGTTTAATCATGAGCTATTTTGCGTGCGTGATGCTTCCAATTGAATTTAGCGGGGCATCTGCGAAATTTATTGGCAGAACGTTGTCGGTGTATAATATATTATTAAATTTGCGCGCTGCCTGAGCTGCCTTCGGGGAAAAGGCCGCTCAGAAATGCAATTTTCAGCGCGGCAAATTCGATTTGAACCGAGCAAGCAAAGAAGTATCGTTTTGCTTGGTGGCTTTTTGTGGAACCGATTTGGCCGGAATCAACTTTATTGTCTTGTAAACGCGAAGAAATTATAGTCCGTGTCCCTTGAGGACTTGTGCATCTCGCGCAGAAGTAAGATTCTCTACGGTAGTGAAGGACAAGAGGGGCTTCATGCAAAACAAGCTTGGAACAAGTCGAGTGCGCTGTTATGCAACCAGCGCTGCAGCGAAAAGTGGGTTGCACGAGCAAGACGAAAGAAAGACTTGCACTTTTCCTTTGAAATTCCACTTCGCCGACGTCGCTAAAGAAATAAATCCGCGGCAATCAAGACGAACGGGGAAAAGCAATTATTTGCCGGCAAACAATCCTGTTGCAAAATTGCATCAGTAGCCTCTGCTCTCTTTTTCCTATTTATTTGATGCGAGACTTTCCATCCTTAATTAGCTTTTATCAAGTCACGACCGTTTGAGTTGAGCTGGAAAAACACCACCACCCACGCCCGCACTTTTCCAAATAGCTTTCTGCCGTCTTTTTTTACAACAAGCGGATCCTTTTCTTCAGCGTGGGTGAATAAACGCTTTTACCGCAAACAAAGCCTCCGGGCGGAGAAGTCGACACTGGGATTTTGTAATGACGATGAAAATTCCTCGGAAGCGGTATTAATTCATTCGTGGGCGTTAACTTCCATCAAAAGAGCTTTGTGCTATTTTTAGTGTTTTCATTTTAAATTTTATATTTCCGAGAAATAATTTTTTTAAGCTTGTAATTTGTTATTTAGTTTGAATCAAAGTTAAAATACAAAATTGAATCGATTAGGCGTCCCATCACTCTCAGCAGAAGCTAAATCAATAACAAGTTTATCCTCGTGCTGATTGCAATTATCATTTTCCGCCGGCTCCACGACCCACTTCAATGGCCTGGTCGATAATCCCCACAGCATAATTCTTTGCCTGGCAAGAGCATAACCGCTTCAAGTACGCGCCCCTTGCGTTACATTGGGGTGCTTAAGCTCTTATCTTGGCCTGAAACAAGCCTTTTTAAGTCCAGGGCGCATTAATAGTACCTATAGAGATTTTCATTGAAAAGCTTGGAAAGGCGTGCTGGAACACTCCACACTCTCAAAAGCATTTTAGCTAAATAATGAATTTCTTGATCCCTGTGCAGAATTTTGATTAAATTGGACGCTGTTATTGAAGCGCAGCCCTCAAGGGCACTCACGCCATTGTATTGAATTGGCGAAAAACAGCGCATGGTCCAAGATCGGACGTCACGCAAGCACTGTTTGATTGAGTGGACCACTCGACATGCTTCATATGCTCTTTCGATTGTGTAGATCTTTAATTAAGAAAGACCTCGCTAATTAAGCCTCATGCCACCGAGTAATTCTTCTGAGGATAATATATGGTCGATTATTCTGTTTAGGCCAATCAGATAGGAGGCATTGTATTATTTCTAAAAATTTCCTTTGTTTGAAAAAAAATAGGGTTATAAATTTAATAATTCATCTTTAAAATTTTCTGTTGCAGTACATGACAGAAAAAATGGGAGGCGCCGAAGGCACAAAGTTGGACAATGACTTCATGGAAATGGAAAGGGTGAGGATCTGTCATAATTTGATTTTTTGTTTTACTTATTTTTTAAATTATTATTTTTCTTAGAAAACTGACGTTACAAATGAGCTGGTAGAGGAGCTCCAGATGAAAACCAGGGAGTACCTTCAGCCAAACCCCAACGCCAGGGCCAAGATGGCTGCAGTCAAGGGCATTTCAAAACTCAGCGGCCAGGCTAAGGCCAACACCTACCCTCAGCCTGAAGGCGTCCTTGGAGACTGCATGGTCACCTATGGCAAGAAGCTCGGAGAAGATTGTCATTTTGGTAAAGTGGATTTCTTTTCCTTTACCCTTGTGGCTAAATATTTTTGTCACTACAGGCGCAGCGTTAGTGGAATTTGGAGAAGCTCTGAAGCAGATGGCTGATGTCAAATACTCTCTTGACGACAATATTAAACAAAACTTCTTGGAGCCCCTGCATGCCTTGCAGATGAAGGATCTAAAGGAAGTCATGGTAAAAATGTTTTTATGTAAAGTGGAATTACTTGATAATGTTTATTATTTCAGCACCACCGCAAGAAGCTTCAGGGCCGACGACTGGACTTTGATTGCAAGAGGAGAAAACAGTCGAAAGGTATCTAACAACACGAGACGGGAAATACTTGCGCCTATCTGTTCGTTGAATCGTCTGTTAAGCGCACTAACAGTTTACATGTTTAACAACACTACTGTTATTTACGTAAAATTTGAAGCAGGAATAGCATGTCCTAATCTCGAGGCATGGGTTTCTTTCTTCTGTCAATTAATCTAGACTAGTTTTGACTCTCCGCCCCCCTCTGTCGTGGGTTTACTTTGAGTATTTCTTGTTGTTTTCATGCCCGTTGGTTGTCATTCAGGAGTGCGAAGGGGTCCCAATCTTGGACCCGGTCCATATGGATCGTCTACATCCAGTCCATATGGCAGCCCTGCTCGCAGCCCTGTTCCTCCTGGTTTTGGTAACAACATTTCTCTTTGCCCTCTGCTCAAATGCAGAAAAGTGCTGCTTCATTCTCATGCATTTATTGGACAAAAATTGGCTCTCTTGCTGTCAAGATTTGAATTCTGCTCAGCAGACTCTTCAGACAAACAGTTTCACCTAGAAAAACATGTGATGTTTCAAAATAGACAGTTATACATATGACACTGCCAGAATTCAAATCCTGACCACTTTTTGGCTACTCACCTGAATGGCATAAAAGATTTCCTCACCCCTTTTGCTCTTTAAAAAAAATCTAATTTGCTATGGGTGTAGTTTTTTTTTATTTACTATAGTTGCTTTTTTATTCACGGTTATGTGTTGACAATTTTTACAATATTAAATACTATTGTGAAATAAAACATACACTTCACCAAGTGGTTATGAAATTTTCGTTTAGCTTGGTATGTGCTTATATTTCTGATTTTAATTTTGCTAAAACTTACAGTTTGGTTTGAATTTTCATCGTCTAAATTTAGTTGCCCTCTTACTATTATTTTGCATTATTTTTATTGATTTATAATTTGTTTTATTAATTTTACTTTTATTTTCTCTCCCCCTCACCTTCTGGTGACTACCTTTAGGCTCTCAAATTCCAGATGATGATATTAAACATGCTGAGGAGAAGTTTGCAGAATCGCTTCATCTTGCCCAACTTGGGATGTTCAATCTTCTTGAAAATGACGTAAGTTCAGAGAGAAGTTGTAAAGGATACAATTTAATTACATCCATTTCAGGTTGAGCAAATTTCACAGCTGGCCACATTCGCAGAGGGTATGCTTGAGTACCACCAACAGTGCACAGAAATCCTAAAAGTCCTCAACGAAACTATGCAGGAAAAGTGAGTTTTTTCTGATTATAATTTTCCAGCCTCTATAAAAATAATTTCAGGAGAGAAGAAGCAGCAGAGAGACCAAAGGCAGAGTTCGTGCCAAAAACCTTGGCTGATCTTAGCATCGAGCCTATCATGGACGGACTCAATGGTGCGAATCAATTTAAGCAGCCACCCCCATACTCCCGCAACCCCCCGCCCCCCTATTCTAATAGCAATGCAAACAACAGAGCTTCTGCGCCTACAATAGGATGGAATTTGCATTCTGTTAAACGTAAGAGTTGTATAATTTTTTGGCTTGCCACGGATTGGTGGTGGTGGACTAACCCTATTGACATAATTATGGTCGGTGTCCTGCCTTCTTATTTTGTGTTAACCCAACCACTTTCCTCTTTCTTTTGTGTCCATTTTTATGTTTCAACGCTTTTTGTTTCATTAACATTGCTTTAACGTTTTTAACTCCTTAAGGCAGGGTACTGTGTGGGAAATGAAATTAATTAATCAAGCTCTGTGGTATGTATTGGTTACAAAATCACAATTTCTTCTCTCATTCCGTATTGCCATCTTGTAAATTTTCATTTATTTTATGATACTTATCAGGCCTTTCATATTATGGTACTTTATAGTATTAATATTACTTGTTTAGAAAAAAATCAATCTCAGTTTTACTTGGTGTTGATTTGCTGATAATGACATTTGATTAAATTTGCAAATGTAATGTTACATTTCATGGGTAATAATCGTTTATGATTAAAGAAATTAAAAATGCTTTATTATAGTCAAGGGGTTCATTTTTTAAATTTTATCAGCTGGTTAGAAATTTGGTTGAGTGTATTTTCTTGGGGTGCACTAGAAAAACACAAAACACGGCTTGCTAGTGTGTGAACACGGACATGTATTTACCTTTTGCCTTTTCGCAATGAGTAATGACTGACAAAATATTATAACAAAAACTTAACACTCTGAAATATCATTCTACATTATGCCAGTTTTTACTTTAAAATTTAAGTTAAATAACTTAAAATATTATTATCATAAAGTCATTTTCTAAAACGTTCATGTAAAGTTGGCCGGCCGTTGGCCTTCATAGAGTGTTAATTCGACGACAAAGGATGCGTGACTGACTGTTGCATTATTTTTCTATCTCTTTCTGACAAATGGGTGTTGTAGTGATGCCCGGACGCTCTCCATTCCACTCCCCTGCGTCTACCCCGGTACATCAGCCTAACTCGCTGCTCTTTGCCAACAACTCAGACAACGCACATTCCAAGGGTACATTTACATGCAAAATGCCAAAAATTGCTTATCCACGCAAATTCAGCACATTTTTACACGTTCAAGTTTTGTTTGGGGAGAAGTGATGATAACTTTTTTTTGAACCTACTGTGATGTAAATAATTCTACTTAATACCCCATTTTGTTTATTGATTATATATCAATTCAAATCCCAATATCGCTTAACTTAGCCCTTTCATATTAATTGAAGACCCTTTAATGTACATTGTCACGATATCCCAGGTCTATTCAAATCCTTTCCCATTATTGTGACTTCCTATGTGATAATCTCTTCCCTTCATTGAAATTTCTAAAGCTACTTTAAATAAAATGATATGTTTATCTCTACCCATTTAACAAAACTCTTGTCATGGAGCATGGTGATTTGATCTTTGCATGTTGATAATGCTGCATCATATTGTGTTGTCTTTGATGCCCTTATTTTTGTTTCAACAACCCTCACGCGAATCTGCAATTTGCATTCTTGGCATGAAAATTTCCCATATATGTCGAACCACTTCTTCTGAAAAAATATCATGATTTTTCCATTTCGATATTGGCCATTCGATCATAATGTATAATTTATCAGTGTTCACTTATATTTCCTATCAATTCACTACTTCTAGAAGATGTTTTTATCTGACTATATTGCTTGCTGCTGCACTAGAGAAACTGAAAAAACTTGCTGTTAGGCAACTATAGCATTGCTAGGACTTTCTTCTCGGCAAACATATTTTTAGACCATGTAGAGCTCTATACTTCTATGTGACATTTTCTTTTAGAAAGAGGATCCTTTTGACTCTCTTCCTTAAATGGTGGTTCGTGTTTAGCAAAAGTAGTGCCGGTCCCTGTCTGAGACTGTTTCATCTGAAAACAGTGATTTAAAGTTCTGTTTTCAGAAAAAAATGGTCTATAGGCGCCAAAATGGGTAGTAGTGCGAATCAATGTAAAAAATCTAAAAGAAAAAAAATACAAATAATGATGCCATTTTATTATTTTCAAATCTGCTCTTTATTTGCTCAGGTACTACTCCCTCCCAGGATGAGGGATATCAAGGTAAGAGAAGTCTCACGAATAAATGAATACAGGGGAAATGAAGCGATCAAAAAAGAATGAATGGCCAATAAAAAAAAAGAACAACCGAAAGACCGCGCATTATAAAAATATAGGCTTGATTAGGCAGGACTCCTTGTTTGATTCATAATGCTCTCTTCACCCCCCCTTCTTGTCCTTGCGCTTGGAAAACACCGAATTTTTGTCCTTGACTCGCTCTCTTCTTCAAGGCTCTTCTCAGCATACCTCACCCGTGCTTAATAAGCCTAATCAATTGGAGCTGGGAGCTTCTGAGCAGCAAGCCCGCTCCAATGCTGGTAATTTGCCTGGTCACAAAAACTGTCTGTGTGTTTTCCAAATTGTCAGTGTAAATTTTAGACCCTGTAAATCTATTGCTCCTGCCTGCGGTACAAAAATGATAGGTACACAGAGGAGAGACCACACAAATATTTGTACATTTTGAAGAGCGCATGGGTTATTATTTTTGAACAGGGAGATTATTTCATAGAGACCCCTGAGATGAGGAAATTCTTTTGTACATAAATCTGAGGGTGCTTTTTATTATCTACATATATTGCTTTTGCTTTCAATTATTCGCTTTCGGTACTTTGCCTGTAGTTAGTAAATCAGTTAATTTGAGTAGATTAATTATGTACCAATGCTTAAGCCAGTACTAATAAGACGCGTTTGCAGCCTCACCACTGCCGTCGCCAATGCGCAGTCCAGCCCGGACTCCGATGAATCAAACTCCGTGCTGCAAGGCCCTGTACGACTTTGATGCACAGAACCCTGGAGAGTTGGAATTCAAGGTAAAAAATATCTAAATTCATTTAATAAAAATATTAACTTAATTTAATCAGGAGGGTGATAACATTACACTGGTCAACCGTGTGGACGAGAACTGGTACGAGGGCAGCGTCAACGGCAAGACAGGCTACTTCCCTCAAAACTACGTTCAGGTGGTGGTACCTCTGCCCTAAGCATCCACCCACTGGCAGCAGCTCCGTGCTATCCATCATGCGTATTTTGAGTAATAATTACAATTAACTTTGTAACCAGCAATTTATTCTCTGCATATCCCCCGGCAAACGTTTCTTCCACTTCTGAATTCGCCTCTCTTTAAATGGATGTGTATTTGATTCGAGAATTCCATCCGCTCCTGAAAAAGTTCTCTCGTTGACCAAATCAATCCGCGTTCACATTTGATTGCAATATATCCAAAGATGAAAGTTTAAGCACAAGTGCTTAGCAATTATGTAGCAGATAATTACGATATTAGTAAAAACAAGTAGCCGTAAAGTTAAGGGAAAAGAAAAGGAGACAAAATATAATCGACTAAATCTAAGAAAATGGAAAAAAATAATCCCTCTCTAAAATGAGTAAAGCGTTGTTGATTCAAAAGCTCTAATTATGTAAACTGTTATGCAATTTGAAATTTCAGGCCTCAAATTTGAGGCGGTCGAATGCAAGCGTGCAGTTACTCTCCTCTATCTCCGTGCTTGCCGTCGTAGTCTCTGTTTTAGATGTTTTTTCTGGCTCGGATTGCGCCGCTTGAAATTTGCCGGTCTGAAGTTTTTGAAAAAAAAAAATGATATCATTCACATACTATACTACTAACTAAATTACCATAAAGCGTCATGAAGTAAAAATAGAACCCAGCCTGGACTGCATTTCGACTTACTCAGTTTCCTCTTGCACTTTTTGTTTCGAGTTAAATAGAAAACAGAATTGTCTCGATAGGAGATGATGGATGCCGTTTTTACAGGACGAGAATCTGGCACGGTTGCGGGAAAGTGTGTAAACTTTTCTGGCCGAGCGCTCGGAACGAAACTGGAAGAGCCGCGCTTTTAGAACCAACCATCATGTTTGGAGGCAATTCTAAAAGCGTGCTTCCTCTTGAGGTGACTGCTTTTGGTAAAGTCAAGACAATACTTATTATTAATTGATGAAAATTGTTATATTATCATATAGTGTGAATACATAAGCGGATATAAATACGATCGCGTTATTTTTAAGACAAAGTGTAGATTGCCCATGTGCGTGTCAAGTTCATTATCTTGTAGACAGATTTTCTCGACCAAAAGACCGCAGGCAAGCAAAAATTATCGGTTTTTTGGAGGACAAGATCAAAAACTAAGCGTTCATCATTTGTTGTTAATGTATCTGTGAACACACCTCTCTCTGCCCTCACTTTAAAAAACAAAACTCTTTTTGCCAAACATGTTGCTCTTGTGCATGCTCCCGCTACTCCGTGTTGCAGTTTTCGAATCTAGATGTTAGGTGGGCTTGTCGTCAGAAAAATATAAAAAACCAATTCCAACGTTTTGTTCTTGTCCGTTTTCTTTTGATCGAAAGGCCGAACTAAATTACAAGCAAATCACTCTCGCCACTCCGAACGTGCACGTCTTATAGCCTTAAAACACGAATTAAAACAAGTGATGAGCAACATAGAATGAGATATCGTACTGCCATTTTAAAGTAGCATGGCGCCAATAACGCGCCAGTCATTAGATTGAGGTGAGAGCAAAGCACACGTGTGATTTCCCTGGTTGCCTTTTTGATCGGCAGTGAATTGAATTTTTAGCTTTCATTTTAAACCAAACAATTTTAACAAAAATTTTAAAAATGCCTTTTATTTTATTAAGGAGTTTTCCTTTAAATTTGGTTCACTGTCAGTCGGAGGCAGATTGATTTGGAGTGTTGAAGAGGAATTAAATTGAATTATGATTTGGCATGAAAGTTGGAGACGTAGTACGAATTTCTTTATGCTTGTTGGTCGGTTTTATATATTATCATGAAATATTTATATTAAATGCACATCCCCATTTCACAGGCGAAAAATTTATTTATATTTCACATTGGCTGTGATATGTTGAACTAATTTTAATTTAAAACGTGTTTGTAAGAACAGAAAGTCGCTGCTCCTTGTGGTTAGTGGTCGATTTTCTGTTTCCGTTTGGGTAGTTAGACTACCCCCTTTTCTCTTAATTTGGAATAATTTGCTGGTAGTTAGTTGTTCTTTTCTCAATTTTCACACAATATTTAAATTTAAAGACAAGCAAAATAGGTTCATTTAATGGTACAAAGCCTAGCAAAACTCACTCTTAACTTTTAAATATAATTATTATTATTATTGTAAAGAGGCATCAATATTATAGAAGCAAAAGCAGAGAGATTTGAATTTTAAAAAGAAAAAAAGGTGCAACACATTACAAGGTTGAATTCCATTGATTTCAGCCCATCTATATGAAATACAGAGAAAATACTATATCAATGTTAAGAAAAGCTATTCGATGTTGTTGTAGACGTGGTTCAATTAAGCAAAATCAACAGATTCGTCCCCCTATGAGATTCAAAATGGATTTATAATTAACAAAAGAAAATGCTGAAAATCTTAATAATCACAGAGCGATAGTTGTTCATCTAGTTGCGACGGCTCAAAATCTAATTGTAATTTATCAAAAATGCAAGCAATAAAATCAAGAGATTATGAAAAATCGTCAGGGGGATTTTCCACTCAAATAATCAAATCCATCAACGCTGCTGAACATTCCTGTTTTTTATATGTATACACGCGTATTATGTTTAAATAAATTTGAGTTGATTCCTTTTCACTATGATCACTTGTTGTGTCAAAAGTCCGATCGTGTGTCAAAACAGCACGCAGCACACTTCTTCAAATTCACTTGTAATTCTCATCCGAAACTACTCAAAAGCAGTGAAAGTGATTTTCGTGCATCATTCATTCTTGCGTGCCCCAATAATGTTGTGTCTAAAATGGAATGTGCCATACACTATCTATACAGCCGGTCTGAATGAAATGATGATGGATTTGAAGATATGTTGCCGTGTCTGTTTATCATGAATATATTATTCTTTTCATTTTCATTGAGTGCAAATTAATGTGGTTTCAAACAAAATAAAGCGTTAGATGTATTAAAGCAATCATATTATCATTCTTTCATTTGTCTAATCAATCTTATAAAATAAGTATACTATAATGTTTATTGGAGGTATCCAGATTATTTATTTGGTGCGATCATCATGACAATGAATCTGTATTAACGCAGTTAATTTTCCGGCGCGAGCTCTGGATTAATTGATTTGCCTCCCGGTTAATCAGCAGCACCACGAGGAGAGCCTCCAACGCCTACACGTCTGCTGAATGATTATTTGCTGGGATTTTGAAACTTAATTAATGCCGCCACCCACGCGGCACAACAAGCGTTTTGCCTCCCACTACTTTTAAAGTTAAAAATAATATATTATTTTCTACAGGAATTTCAGTTTAAATTTACTTTATTTTATCTAATAATAAAATGATGTGTCCATAAGTAAAATAAAAAAATAAAAAAACTAAAGTAACACTCTTCGAAAGATCTTTTAAGCATTTAATTTTCTTTGCACAATATGTGACCTTTAATAATTAACTTTTTTAGGCAAAATATTAAAATTTGTAATATAAAACTGTTGTTGTATTAATTTTGATGAAATTTATTAATTTTTTATAACTTTTAGAACCTAAAATAATTTAAAACTTTTAATTAATTAGTTATAAATTATAAAATTGGTTGATTTTCAATGTTTATAGCATCAAATTTATATTCCCGAGTTAAATATAAATTTATTCAAAATTTTATAATCGTTGACGCAAACCCTGCTCGTCCCGAAATTATGTTGGTACACAGCAGCCGTCAGAGACATGGGGCCTTATGGCTCTGGGAGGTAGACATCTTTTTTTTGGCCAACATAACAGAGCTGATGAGCAGGGTTTGCGTTGACGTTTTATCAAACAATTGTATTCAACATGGGCAAACTTTCATCATTTCATCTTCATTCGCTCAATATTGATGTGAGCATAAAATATTTTAACTGATCTGCTAGTGAAAATATTGATGTAAAAATTCATCTTGCTAAAAACTTCATTCTTTAGGTAAAAATTTTGAAGCTAGAATTATTCGACACTTTTTTTTATAAAACCAATCTTATAATTAAATTCATTCTAAATATTGATCGTGTGCTTTTTTACAATGCTTGGCTTCGACTTGCCGGCCTGTGAAGCAGTGCGTCGGGGGATTTAGCCAAATTGATTCCGAGTGTAAGTATATTGGCGGTGCAATAAAAGCTTATTCGCGGTGCGGCGAAAAAATCTCTCCGATCCGTCCGTTCACTGAGCCGTCCGTGTGCATGCAGCGGGGCAGCAGACTCGCTGCTTTTTGCGACTAACTGATTTAAGCTGCAAAGCTGGGATCAATGTTTTCCTCGTGGCTGGCTTTTGGCCATGTTTCCAACACAATTATATGCTGCATCTCTGCCCCTGCCCCGTTCGCTCTGCTTATTTAATCCTCTGGTTATTTAGAGCAACCGATCGTGCCCCGGAAAATGGGAAAAAAATCCCGTCAGACTGCGCGCTCAAACCGATCAATTCATGATTGAAGCCGGACTGAAATGGAGATGCAAAGAAATGAAAATTTTCAATATGAATAAATATTATTATCTGCTGGAAATTATTATTACAAATATAAAAAAAGAATAGAAATATTTTAAATTATGTATGGTTCATTGGCAAATTAAATTTCATACTATGTATATTTATCAACCTTGGAGAATTTTATTATTTCTTGTAAATAACCCCCTGATCAGTTGATCACCAATTATTTTGGATGGTTTTTCTTATGCCTCGAATTTCCTCCAAAATGTTTCCCAATTATTTTTTATATCCTTCTTCCTTTATTGAGTGTTAAAATAGAATTCGAATTTACGACTTAGCCACACACACTTGTACATAATGCGCGACAGCTGATCTCGTGTAATTGGCTGCCAAAGTTTGGCCACTCATTATTCCAACTCGAGCCACGCGCCGTGCACGTGCGTTTCTGCTTCGTAAATAATTCCCGACAGCGATTTGTTTAGCCACCCTCTACACTTAAAGGCGTCCACGGATTGAAATCTCTTCCTTTTTATTGCAGCTCCGATAAAACTACTCGGCGCAAAAGATAAAACCTTCAAATGATACTTTTTCAAATTAAATGCAAACTAATTTTTCAGCTACGAGAATCCATTTAATTCACGTCGAAATAGTTTGCTCAGAATAACGTGATGATGAGCAGTTTGATATCATCACGCCACGTAATTCGCTGCCTTGAGCGTTTAGTAGCTTTTGAAAGGCCAACTTTGTGCTAATTAGTCTCCCATCTAATTATCTTTGAGCAAACTCGGCTGGTGGACAGTACAGAGAGAAACAAGGGAATCTCATTTGGTGGACAAAAGGTGAAAAACGGAGCCAAGCAAAAATAATAATATAGAATTTGTTTCATTTATAAAGCTTCTTTGAATGAGAACATAGACAAGATTTTCCTTAAACTTTTGCCAGGATGAAGAAAATAAAATGAAAATTAATAAATTTAGGTAATAATATACACCTAAAGGTCGATTTTCGCGTCTAAAAAAAGTCTTGAAGTTGAAATTGTCAAGTTATGCAACTTGCTCAACTCGACAGTCCAGCGTGTTGCCTGAACACGATTTATGGCCAAATTATGGAGATGGAGCAACAAAGTAACAGAGATATGAATCAAAATAAGTGACGGCCAGCAAGTCTCAACGATAATAAAGCATGTGTGAGGAAATAACAACGAAAAGGAGAAAATAAGACTTGGGCACAGATATAAATCATGCTGGGGGGCTTTAACATTGGGATTTCGTTCCTCTTGTTATAAAAAGGTCTGATATTGATTTAGGCAAAAAATCTTATTACCAAGGAGTTGATTAAAAATTAAAAATTCTATTTAAAACAATCAAATATTTTAGAGTTAAATACTGAAAGTTCTTAATAGCAGTTTACTTTAACTTTATTAATTATTTTGAGCGTATGCTTTTTAGAAATGATCTGATTTAGGGAAATTTAACAAAGCTAGGAGGTATTTTGTTCCATTACTGCGGCAAATGCGTTAATTGAAATGAATAGTGCATTAAGATAGGCAGCCGCGGAGAGAGATGGTTTGAAACAAAGCGGCGACCGGCGGCGAGTCTCTTTGTGCACATACTTAACAATACGGGGTGCGGTCGGCGGGCGTCGGCGGAAAACGGGATTTTCATGCATGATTCATAAGAATCGCATTGTCCCTGGGGATCAAATTACAAAGAGCGTCTTACTAACTGGCCAAATGAGGAGGCGCCGCAGTAACCAAGGCACTCGCGCACGTTTTACTGCGCGCTCTTCTGCCAGGCTGACCCTTGCCTTGCCGCCGCCGAATCTGCGCTGCTGATTGCCCCTTTATTTGCACCTCACCGGACACCCACATATAAAATCTGACCGAAATTGGAAGCGAATGGAAAAAAGGAATCTAAGAGGCAGCAGAAAATTTAAAAAAGAACTACATAAAAATACTTTGATAATAAAAATAAAATTCAGCTAGATCAGGCAAAATTTAAATAAACAACAAATCAATTCCATTATTAGCATTACCAAATCAGTTGGATATTAATATTAAGTGAATAGTCAAGAAATGTTGGGTGAATAAAAATATTTTGAAAAGCATTTCCCTGCGTGCTTATGATTATTCCTAGAATAACAAAGGCACCTAAAAGATAGAAAAAATTGCAAATATTGTGGCATTTAGGCATCAAAAACTGCAATATTATTGAAATAGTTAATCAATCGCATATTTTAAAACGATGACCAACATATTTACTTTTCAAGCCAACATAAATATATGCGCATCATAGCCACAATACTTTAGTATGGCAGCGGTACAAAATAAAAGCTGAAAACTTTATTAAAGTTTGATAAGTAAAATAAATTTTGCACCTTAATTAATATAAGTTTCTAGCCCACTATTTTGAAAAATTGACCCACACACATTTTTCACTCCAACTTACGTTGCTGTGGTGCGAATGCATGCCTTTTATAGCGAAAATACTTTAGAATGGCAGAGGTACAAAATAAAAGCATGAAACTCTTTTATAGTGTGAAGAGTGAAATAAATTATGCACCTTAATTAAATTAAGTTTCTAGTCCTCTATTTTGAAAAATTGGCCCACACACATTTTTCACTCCAACTTACGTTGCTGTGGTGTGAATGCATGCCTTTCATATCAAAAATACTTTAGAATGGCAGAGGTTCAAAATAAAAGCATAAAACTCTTTTATAGTGTGAAGAGTGAAATAAATTATGCAGTTGCACCTTTACTAAATGATGTTTCTAGCCCTATATTTTGAAAACTTGATCAACCCCGAGTTTTATTGCCCACTTGCATTGCTGTGGTATGAAATATTGCGTAAGATGGCCAAATTTACTTTAGAAAAGTGGAGTAACAAGATCAACAAGAACGATTTTAAATTTTTTGATATCGTGCGTCATTTTTTCTTTATATTCGCTTTTATTTAATTCGTTAATTAATCGTACATTTTCAAAACTTGACGTGGAATAGATTCACGCCAACATATATTTATGTGGCGTGACAGCTTTTGTAGCATTTTCCAAAATACTGAAGAATTGAGGGGTATCAAAATAAAGGATAAAATCTTTAAAATAGTTTTGATATGTGAAATAAATTATGCGCCTGTATCAAATGATGTTTCTAGCCCTCTATTTTGAAATCTTGACCAATATTGAGGTTTGCTGTATTGTGAAATCATGTAAATCATTGTCAAATTACCTAAGAATAGCAAAAGAACAAGATACTTGTGTAATTTTGGCAACAAAATTTGTGATGTTATTGAATTAATCCTTTAGCCGTATATTTTGAAAACTTCATATTAAATATTTTTTTTAAATAATATTATTTATAAACTTTATATAAAACCATTGTTTTGTTTTATTTCTGCAACCTCATTTAAAAATAATTATAAAGAACTAAAAATTATTGTTCTATGGAAAGTTTTAAAACTAGTGCTATTTTTATAACCGAAATCTTTTATTGACAAGCATTAATTGTGTTTATTTAAAGCCGTTTAAAGTAAATGGTAAATATCTTTCAAAATGTAATGTATTGATTAAAATATATTTGATATAAATTTGTTTGGAGCTTACGGTCTGTACATTAAACACGCAGAAGTGAGCAATTTAATTACACACCTACCAGGCAGGCAGCCATCCGCGCAAATTTAAATGCCGGCGCTGGAAATAGATTAAAATTGCGGCTGCCAGAACGTAAATATGTAGGAACGCAACAGCAGATTACCCAATAATATTCAAACGAACGTAAAGTACAAGAAAGTACCCAGACGAGAGGGATGCTGATTATTATCATTATTGCGCACTCGAGTTGTTTTTGACTGCCTGCCCTACTTGAAATAATCTTTCTCCGAGCTGCCGTTTAATTTTCCATTGTGCAAACGCAAGACAATCCCCGTTCCGAGTCAGCAGAAAGACTAAATTGATTCTCTCCGAGGCAGCATCAAATATATTTAAACCCAGCAGCCGAGAGAGAAAGAGAAACTTGCTCTCGGAAAAGCAGATTTTCTTTCCTTTATTTCAATGCTTGGCTGAACATTCCAAATTGGTCATAATTTGTCTCGCAGTAACAACTTTTCTCTCTCGCTCGTTCCTTGTTACACTCAGTGCCAAATCCCACATGGGACTCGATTTTTTTTCTCTCGCCCGCCAAACCTACTGGGAACTATCCAACTTGTAAGCAGACATCTGTATGAGTCTTTTTTCTTGCTCCCCTCCTGTCAAATTAGGCCTGGCGTTCTTTTATCTTAGTTGAAAAGTTCAATGCATTATATTCACAAACAAAGAAGTAAAAAGTTCTTCTTCAATTAGTTCTTAAAGCACAAATTAATTTGAAAAGAAACAAAATAATATTTTCTTAATCTTTGCTTATTGAGGGAAAAATTCCACCACCAAAAGCAACTTGCCTAAATTGGGGCACACCTCATTTTCCTCTTCATCAGCCTCCTCTTTCTGCGTTGGCAAAATTAATTTGATCAAAGAAAAATAACGATCAAAGACGCTCGCTTCTTTAACACGGAACTCTTTTTCTCTGGCAATTCACACAAATTAAACCTTTCTGCGTCGCTTCTTCTTTCACTCTCTGAATGACTTCTTCTTTTTCTAATTTATTCCTCTATCTCTCCCTTCGCCACTGCAAATAAGTCTTCGTACTTTTCGCCTCTTTTTTATCTTCTTTTATTTGCAGCCGTGAGTGCCATTTAGCAGCACTCATTTATTCATTTCTCGCGCCCAGACTCGTTACGAAACAGCACGTAATTTAACGTGCACACCTTTCTTGGCTTTGAAGAAGTGCACAAAGAAGAGCGAAAAATTGATGGGGACGTTTGCCAAAGAAAAGAGGTTCTTGCGCGCATTCAATGACTACGCTCCCCAGTGAATGACACGCCGGTGAAAAGAATTTAATCATCAAACCTGCCTTGGAACAGAAAAACGATTCATTGCCAGATAGATATTTAGAGGCACCATGTTAATTTTAACACCAAAACAAAATTTTCTAACCGAAATTACTATAGAGAAAAAAATAGCTTAATAACAAAGACTGTTTATTCGATATCTTTTGAAAGATAGTTTTATCATAAAAAAATTCCAGTAATTTTGATTAAAACAAACAAATATGCAGTAAAAGAAAAACAAGCAAAATTGTACTCTGAAAGAGAAATTTAATTTAATAGAAGAGAATATAAATTAATAAATCATATGGTGGATCTTTTCAAATTAATATTCAAGCGCATTTTTAAAAGATAAGCATCAATATGCTTTTTTAATTGCCAGTCTCATTTTTAAATTTAAACTTAAAAATATAATTAACCATTTTCAAGCTATTGAAAAAAATATGAATGATGATCACTACACAAAAGAAATAAGTTTTTATAAGAAAACTTTAAAATATAAGTTTGGTAACTAATATAAATAAAGTTTTCTAAAAGGTTGGGGGTAATTTTTTTGATCAAAATTATTAGATATTATGTTCTTAAAAATTTAAATTTTCACTGTTTATATCTCCAATGTAAAAATGTTCTGTAAAATTATTGTACGATACCTTTGTCCTTCATATCAAAATTTTACTTAATTCTACAACACAATGAAGGGCTGTTGTATGTATTATTGCTTATATTTTTAGCGTTCTCACGGTCAGTTCACCCCCGAGGCGGCGATCAACGAGAATTACAAATGAGAGAGGATGATTGAGCAAAATCACAACATGTGCTATGCGTGGCGAGGCCGCACAATTTAAAATTATCCTCCCCGGCCAGCACCCCATCAAACTTGCTCGCGGCCTCTTGTTTTAAGCACCAGCCTTCCACATTCGAGTGCACCGGCACGTGGCCACTCAGTAAACAAAGCCACGTGCCGCCGTGTCTCCTGTTTTTAAAACAACTCACGCGCTAATTACATTGTAAATAAAACACGTACGTCTGCCCGACGGCCACCCTCAGGGCTGTGAATAATTAATTTCTCATTTAACTAAAGTGGCGATTCACAAGAACTCGCATACCACGGAGAGTAGAACATAATAAAGCTCTCATGCTAGAAAGTCAGGGCAATACATACTGCAAGTACAAAAAATAATTTAACTGCCTAATTAATCAAAATTGATTGTGTTGCAGTTATTTAAAATTATTTTTGCAAGCGTATGACTAAAAACTGCTAAATAAGTTATTTTGACTTCTTTGAAAGTTTGACTTACAAAGATTTCTAAGCAGTGATTAATATTAATCCTCAAAATAATTTAAAACAATATTACTAATTTTTATATTTTCATTAAAAATTGCATGGCCTATATTCAATTTTGTGAAAATTGGGTTCGTAATTTTTCGGTAATTTTGTTATTCTATCAAATTTTTATTATTTATCTAACAATTATTCAGTTAGTTGATATAAGGAACTGAAATGTATGCGACTTTTAGTAACAATTCGTTTGCAATATAGTCACCGAGGGCTTTGATGCGAAACAAGCGCTGCAAAAATTTAAAGTTTGAGAGTTCGGTTATCTCCGCTCTTATCTGCTGTGCCGCTGTTTCTGTTCTCCAAAGTGGGCGTATCGTGGTGACTTCCTTAGTGTCAACGGACATTAAAATAAGGTCAGACTTTGACAAGAAATAAACAATTTTTATGTTTATGAAGAAATCGTGACGAAAATATTGATAAAATCAAATAATTTTCTTGACCTGCGCTATATTTTTATCTCACTTGAGTGCACCGAGTAGAAAAATTATGGCATCATGTTTCGCGCCTGCACTAAAATGAATGTTCAGCTCGTTGGTCGTCACGTGAAGCCGTGAGTCAATAATAATGACATCATTCAAATAATAATACTTGGTTGACACAGGAAAACCGGGTTGAAAAGATAAGTCGTCGACGCCAAACGGTCCTGTGATATTATAATAAGTGACTGCTTAAAATATCAGCTACTATTAAATTACAAATTTTCTCTAGTTACAAAAATTATTCAACCCAAAGAATAGTTACAGAATATTACTTGGCAATCTCAATATCATTTGAGAGAAAAGCCTGTGTCAATTGAGGTAGAGGTACGTACAGATTAACTGGTGCAAATGTTTTTTTATTGATTTTGTAAAATTTTAAGCTTTTTAATCAAACTAATGCTGGTTGATTGCAGTTTTTGCAGTTTAAATCTAAATGAATGCAAGCAACGAGCAGTCGTCAAGACCCTTGAAGGTGACTGTCGTCGGAGATGCTAATGTCGGCAAAAAGAGCTTCCTCTTCACCTACACTACAAAGGAGTTTCCAGGCGAATATATCCCCACCGTGTAAGTAGTAGTAAAAATTACCAGACATCTTATCATTTCACGTCATCTCTGCCGCGTGAAAGAAGGTATTCCCAAGTAAATTAATTTAAATTTGACAAAATTAATTTTCTTCAGGTTCGATAATTACACTGAAAATATCAAGGTGGACGGAAAAGAGTACAATATATCAGTCTGGGACACCACCGGGCTGGAACACTATGACAAAGTCAGGGTCATCACATACGTAAATGTATCAATAAATTTTTTTCGATTTGCCAGTATGCATTGATTTAAAAATTATTGACAGACTGACTGTTTCCTGCTGTGCTACTCAATAAGCAGTCGCAGCTCTTTTGATAACATCTCTACAAAGTGGTATCCAGACATCAGATTGCACTGTCCAAATGTACCCATCGTCTTAGTCGGTACGTTTTTTTAAGTCATTTTTTTGTGAATCTAATTTTAATTGTTAATTAATAGGTACCAAGATGGATTTGAGGGACGAAAAAACTCACGGTACGGACGTTGGTGTCGTCTCAGTGGAGAATGGTCGAAAACTATGCAAGAAAATCAAAGCAGAGACCGTGGTCGAGTGTTCGGCCAAGAACGGAGAAAACCTGACGGCAGTATTCGAATCTGCGGTGCGAGCGGCGATCAAGAAAAAGTCCAATCCTTAGGCTATAACCTTGTTACGCGTCTTTAAAATGCGACTAATGACCATTTTTCGGTGAAGTAAAATAAATTTTATTTTATAATATTTTTAGACTGATTTGACGAATAAATTTGTACTTTATTGCCATAAACTATAAGCAAAACACAAAACTTTTAAGTTATTATAATTTAAATTTTGGATTTAAAACACATTTTACACTTGTCTATAGAAAATCAAAATTGAACTTTGTCGAGTTCATTGACCAGTTCCTCCACAATGAGCATCACTGCCCACCTGAAGTTTTCGTCCACCCTGAAATGATCCATCAAAGTCTCGGCAGGTGTGCCGTTGATGTAAGCGGAGACCACTTCTTCATTCATCTCGCCATCATTTTCCGCCACCCAACCCTCTACGAACACGGGAGGACGCATCGTGGCAGCAAAGAGGGTGCCAAACAATCTGAAATCCTCGTACTCCTCGAGGAGTTTCTTCAGGGTCAGTTCGGGCTCCGATTTGGGGAGGTTGCGATTGAAAAATTCCACGTAGGTGGCGAGCAGGGGCACTTCATTTGCGTCCCTGAACGGTTTGTCAGTGCAGAGATACAAGAAGAACTGCAGGTCAAATGACACTGGGCTGTACCTGACCAGCTGAAGGTCGATCATTTTTAGGCCACTCGGCTGAAAAAAATTTGAATTGCAATAATTAATTAAAAAATATTAAGTGCGTTTTTACCACACAAAAAAAAACTAAAGAAAATGTTTAATTTTTAAAATGGATAATTTTTGAATGGTTTTTACCTTGCCATCCTCGTCGAATTTGAACATGACGTTATTTTCCCAGAGGTCACCATGGCACAGGTAGTTTTGCCATTTTTTGCTCGGTCTGCAGATGTCGATGATCTTTTCGTAAAACGCTCCCGAGCTCAGCCAGCTGCCGTACTTCTCAAAAGCCTCTGGAAACTCCACTTTTAAAACTTCGTTTACAAACGAAATTCCGTTCATTAGCCGCGCGTGCATCATTTTCCGTCCACATCCCTCGAAAAGTCCGTCTTCGTTGAGCAGGGGCAGAAGTTTCAGCCAGTCCGTTCCTGCCGAAGCCGCGTGGAAAGAGGCTAAAGCTTGAAAGATCATTTCTATGTGGGGATATTCCAGAGAGCAGTAGTTTTGGCCAGTGAGTGGTTTTGAGACGATTTCGTGCCCGCTCAGACTTAGATCTTCTAAAATAACGCCTCTTTCATTTGCCAAGTAGCATTTTACCATGGGATAATCTCTGAAAATTTTATAAAATTTTAGTACTTTTTGCTTATTTTATTTAAATTTTGCATGAAATGTGAACATCATACAATATAAAAAAAATATGAGAGCAACTTCATAAAAAAATTTAAATTTTAAATCAAAATAACAAACAAATTTTTTTTTAAAAATTAATTATTTTTGCTGCATCAAATTTAACCATCCAGTTAAAAGCATTCTGGCAATTTTTCTGGCAAACTTTTTTCAGATCTAATATTTTTCTGGCATTTTATTTTTTGGGCATTTTTTCTATTACCTAGTATTTTTCTCCAAAATCGGCGCCACCACATTGAAATAGTCGCATTCTCTTTGGTGGAAATTAGAGCCTTCCATGTACAGCGACTGGAATTCGGACACCGGCGGCATCTTCACGATGAAAGTCACTTGTCCCTTTGCACCATCCTCGTCCACATAAGTGACCTTTGCCCTTCTGATTAGCGACAAGAAGCCCTGCAACTTTTCGGTTCCGCGGGTAACCTCGTAATCGAACACAATGTCGTTTTTTGTGTTGAGAAAATTCTGCAGTGCGCTTTTGATGTCTGCGGTGCCGAGCGTTGATTTCGGGTCCATGGCTGAAGCGTGACTGAAGAAGATCTTTGACTCACTCGACAAACACACCAACTCGTCGGCTGGCCTTCACATGTGTGTTTTTTTTACCGAGCCCAAGGAGCAGCGGATATCTCCCATTAAAAGACACGAGGGGGAATGCTTATATTTGATATGTTAAACTTGTTGACCTTGCTGAAAGCGCCACAGCAGCGGCTTCACAACAGCGAGCGGCCAATTGATGAGAGCAGATAGATTAGATCTCATTAGATTGATAGTTAGAGACGTGGTTCAGTAGGTGCCTCGTCGTTTAGTCAAAACTGTCACTCCCTCACTATATTGAGCGTTCATTCACCCTTGTTCTAATTGTAAGCTCAGTTTAATGTTTTAATTTGTATGTCATGTCCCTTTTAAAAGAGCTAAGTTATTATTGATAGAAACTTGGCGATTGGCAAACTATTTTATACGAGATTTATATTTACAGATGATCATACATACAGTTTAAGTGTAGCCCTTCATATTATATTAATTAAAAATGTGATTAGTAGGTTTTTAGCTATATTTAATTTTAAAAGCACTAATAATAGCTAGTGCAGAGAGAGCAGTGTGTAATGGATGTTAAACTATTTTTAACAAAATTAATAAAAAAATTTATCGATAAAAATAAAATAATATTAAAATTTGAAGTTAAAATAATTACATTACAAATGATTTTATTTTAAAATAAGTCAGTCAGTTTTTATATATTTCATTTTTTATTTTTTAAAAAAAAATATAAGTTGAAAAAAAATGATTTTATTTCGATTTAAATCAATTTATTTTCATTTTTGACGTATTAGATTGTATATATTGGTAAATTGGTTTGTAACCAACGCAAATTAAATTCAAATAGCAAATATAAAATTTACTACAATCACAAAGTAAACGTTGGTCATTAGTAAAAAATTTCACTCGACATTTCTTGCTTCAAAGTCAGATATAATCTAGAAAAGGGCCAGTATGCCGACGATGAGGGACCCATCATCAATAACGCAACTATAAAACTAATCTGTTATTCCTGGTAAAATATTTGCATATTCACTCTGGCCAAAGCATTGTTGCTCTTAATTTAGCATCTGTTCCTCCGCCTGTGTGTGTTTCCGATCGTCGCTGGCATTGTCACGCCCCGTGGAAATCAACCCCCGGGGTTGTTGCAGCAGCGCTAAACAACCCCTCTCCTTTTGAAACCCTTGCGCTCGCCACCGCCGCCGAGGGCCGGGAATGAATTGAATGAATGACGAGTTGGAGAAGGGGAGGCGAAAAGGCGCAACTTGTTATTACCAAATTACACTTACTTAGTTAATTCTGCTCGGCGGTGGCGAAAACGACGCTCTCTCGTTTTATTAGGCCCAGGCTTGCTTATTTGTCAACCGGAACGCGTGTAATGGGATTTTGATTAATTCAAAGCAGAGTGACCGCACAACAGCATTAAATTCTAGCACTCAAGAGCCATAGATAGGATTTTATGTAACTTTCCATATTTATTAAAAATTTTCTGCCTCTAAATTTTGATGTTTCTTTTTTTAATCTGTAATTTTGAATCAGTTTTATTCAATGTTGATTAAAAGCGGGATAAGAAAGTTGAATCGGTGTCACTTCCCTTCAGTGTCCTTTTGCACGCACACATACAATTCCGAATTATAACATGTTGGGTGGATTAATTTCCCTAGATAAGCTGCAATTATCAGTTTCAATAGGAACCCCTGGACGAGCATATATTTATCTGATCTTCGCGGCCAATTTTAAACCACCTGCTTGAAAAGGATAGTGAACCACACAATTATTCCGTCTGCCAAAAAAAGTTATGAGAATATCGGCGAAAAACCGAATATAAATGGGTGACAACTGTCTCGTTACGGCAAATTGTTATTTTATGCATCAATTTGTGGTGCCAATTATTTCTGTGCACATTTTATTATTGCGATCGCTTCTGGCTTTCTTCTTTTTATTGCCGCAGCTGATATGTGCTTATTTTTTCCAGCACAATGGGTGGGTGGCGCGCGCGCATATAATACTCATGTAAATAGATACATGTAATTCTATTAGGGTGCACGCAGAGTTATATTGTTATTACCATCTGAATACAACTAGCGAATCTGCAGCACACAGAGGAGTGATTCTGAATAATATCATCTAAAATATATATTTATATAATATATATTTTTTTTAATAAAATGATTCTTAGTCGTGGTGAAGAAATACGAATCTGCCCGATGCAATTCCGGTCTTGTAAATTTATTGTTATCAATGTCCGTCCAAATGTTCAAAGTGGAGCGATTTAGGTAATTTATTGAAATAATTTAGAAGTCGGTACATTATTAATTTTTTCGAATCTTTAATTCAGTTGTGTCCAACTTAAAAAATTACAAGCAATTTGTTTTTTCTAAAGAAATAAAATTACGTAACCAGCGCAATAAATTTGATTTTATTTCAGTCAATAATTGCTTGGATCTGATGAAGCAGTTTCAATTTTGTGATGGGAAAATCTACAACACCCAAGCAATGCGTATATTTATTTTCATTTTGCTAAAACGTAAAACATGATAAATAAAATGACGTAATGTTTACTTTTTTAACCTGGATAATAAAGTGGCAAGTAAAGAATTACGAAACAATTTATTACATTTTAGTTAATTTATTGGAAAAAGTGGGCTAAAGTATGATAAAAATTGCCGACTTTGGGCCAATTGCGTCTATTTTCGTCTTTGCATCCGGGGTCCTATTGGAAACAAACAGGACAAACACACACATAGGCTCGCATTGAAATGTACACACAGGTACACAAAACAAAACCAACTGCGCGCGGAGGGCGGTGCAAAATTAATTAGACCGCACTCGCTCGAACGAGAGAGCAAGAGAGAGAGAGGATGGCACAGAGAGAGCTTCTGTGTGTTTGTACATTTACGGCGGCGCTTTGCACTGCTGCTGGCATTAATTCCTGTTATTTTGTTTGTTAAGTGAATTGAGAGGTAATGGACAACACACGTACACAGCACAAACAGTCATTACAGGCCTGTTAATATTCTGACACGTTGTGCCAAGGGACAGTGCAAGATCAATAATGAAGCACAAAATCCAAATTTAAAATTATATTTAATTTATTCCTTTGAAGTGACAAAAAAAAAAACATTTAAATATTTTTAAATTTTACTCCATGCAACTAAATTAACGAACTGTAGGTTAATAATTAATGTATTGCATTAGCTATTAAGATATTATTAAAAAAATCATTAAATTGTTTATATTTTGCTCTATTTAAATAAAATTAGCAACAATATAGTTAAATATGAGGCGTGGAGGAAGAAAGCACAACAGTAACCAAAATTTAATATTTAGAATATATTATGTACATTTCAATAGATCTTCTAAATATAATTTATACATTAAATAAATTGCAAATAGTTGAAATAATATCAGAAACTTAAAAATTAGAATAAAAATGCCACTAATATTAATTATCTTAATTCACATTGTGGTGTAACTGATTAACCATTTCTTTCTCTTTCAATAATAAAAAAGTGGACTCTGTGATTGAAATTAAAATATCTAAAAAAAATAAAATAATAATAAAGGTGGTATAAAAATTGTTTGATATCAAACACTTCCCCTGGTGGCCTAGGCACCGTGTATGGGGCCCTACTTCAAACACCTCTTGTTTAAGCGTCACCGCGGTAAAAGGAAGGGTTGCCCGTCGCCCCCATTGTGGTTGCCGACGTTCCAACTATTTGATAATGACGATTTGGCAGACGGACCCAATTTGACCGCCACACATCGTTTGAATGCTTCTAATGTGAGCTGCTTTGCAAATAAAAGCCGCCCTATTGCACACTCTGGTTTGCTTGACGTCCTTGCGTTGTCTGGCAAAACAGAAACAGAGGTCACACACGCACACATCATATAATTGATAAGTGAGAAAAATGTACAGCTCAAATGTCACATGATTTGAGAATTTTTATACACTTCAGAATTCATTCATTGCATCAAAATTAATAAAAACGTCATAATACTGAACATAAAGAAACCTCGAATAATTTTTTTTAGATATCAAAATTTGTATTTAAAAAGAAGAAGATCATTGACTGATCGACATTCATAACAAGCAAGTGGTTTTGGAGATTTGATACACCCTCGTGAAAACCGCAAAACCATCGCATCGATGGCAAAATAAACTTACATCTGGTCCGACCAGTTTGACATTTAAAAACAACAGCTCTGATGTCAACACTTTTTTTTCAAAACCTCGTCCCATACATCTGAACAACATCTGGTCCATTTAAATAATTAACAAAGTCAAACACGGTTGGAAAAACCGACTGGAAAAAGTCGGCGTGTCGAAAGAGCGCAACCCTTTTCCTCTCAACCCCTTAAGCACTGCAACAATGCAAACACTTGTAGTGAATTTGGCACGCCGATTATGGGCCCGGTGTATATTATCAGCCCCGCGCGTGACGATCAGCCATCTGCCTGTTTTTTAAAAGGGGCAGTGGGCACCCCCCGTACTTTTCAGCAAGTATAGATATACACACGGCAGGGCTTTAACGAAACATATTTATCGGTCGCTCTGTGTCAAATCAAGTGGCTATTTTTTATGATGCAGCTTTCAAGAGCTTTAATTGCAAGTAAGATAAATAAATCCGGCGTGACGGGAGGTTTTTCCGTCCCTACTGACTCCCTGAATCAATTTAATTGACAATGAGGAAATTGATACTTTTAGCTTTTGAATTGACAGAACGTTATGGAAACGTGATATCCGTGATATGGGTGAAAAGTGAGTGGAAAAGTCACTTGATGCAAATGACTTTTAGTCGCGAGAGTCCATTATAATTTATAACAAATAGACTTGCAAAATCCAGCTATTTTTGTATGTAAAGGAGGCAATTTTATGAAAATGTATTCAATATTGTCTTTTTATATTTTCAGAACGTGACTCTCAGCAGAAAAAAGTACCTTATAATTAAAAAAATCAATATTTTAAATAAAATCAAATAAGCGTTTATAAATCCTAATTGTATTCAATAAACAAAAAAAATTGATGTAAAAAGTAATGTATTTATTTATTTTGTACTATTGCAATGGCTTTAATTAATTAATAAATCTGCTCTTTATTGATCTCTATAA